TATATAAAAAAAACTTTTTTATAAAATTCAACCGCAAATTGTTTTAAAACTTTCTTATTTTTCATATGTTTACTAGTTTAGGCAGTGATGCCAAGTTATTCTTAAGCACCAAAAGTTGTTCTATTGGAGCATTCATGTCAAAGAAATACACCTTATATATTTCTTAACTCATCAAAATTAACTAAACAGCACACTGTCAAATTTTTCGAAATGGTAAATAGAGGTTTTCTATACACTAATAAAAATATTTTTGTTGCTAGCTGCTTGATCATGATAAATATTATTAACACTTTTTATACATTTTCTCAATACCATAAATCAATAAAGTCACGAATAGTTAATTTTATATTTGATAAAAAGTGATAACTGATAAGAGATGTTTTCTTTTTTAACTCTTCTTTAAGAAATATTGATTTCTTAATTTAGTTTAAACATTTGAAGAAATTTCTATTATTAATACATAATTAGTTAATTGGTATTTATTATAATACTATTTTAGTTAATTAGAATAATAATCTTGCAATGGAATAGTATATGTGTTCATTAGCTCAAAGTCTCCTTTAAAGAAGAGAAAAATCAAAAAAGACTATACTGGGACAACTAATAGGATTTAAAACACGCCAAATCACATATTGGGTGATATGGATTATATCTATAACCGACATAACTGTTTAATGCAAAACAACTTTGAAATCATTAAAGAAATTCTAACAAGACATCTAAATAAGCCAAATATTGTTTTTATTGTAATTTTCAGGTTTTGTAGAGAAGCGAATACCAACAAAAGTGCTGTGAAGGGGTCATACATGATGCATAACTAAAAAAAATACTTAAATAATTACATACTATTTTATTATAAAATAAGAGCGCTAAAATGTTACAATTTATCTAGAAAGTGTGACTGAAAGAATCTTTCTGATTCCATGTAGGGATTACTTTCTCGAAGTCACTGTACTAATATAACAATGGATAATATAAATAGTCGTAATTTTTTCTTTCAGAGTAGCAAAAAAATACTCACAACTTTCAAAAGAAAATATGTAAAATAACAATACTTTCAAAATCCTGAGTTAGGTTTTACTCGCAAAAAAATTTGCGTCTTTTGTGAAAGTTCACTGGAAAGATGTTGCAAAATTCCAATCATCCACTAAACTCATATGAGCATTTCATTTACTAATAAATTCAAATACATAAATTCAAACTAATTTAAATATATTAGTTAAAAATGTTAACAATTCCAGTCCTATCTTTGTAATTTTCTTCATACTGTTCTTCATACTTTAAATCATTGATATTAACGATCTCTTCTTGAGGCTGTGTGTCGATTAAAACTGATCTTTTTTTTATAAACCGTCCTTTTTTCTCGAATGTTTGAATGCAATTGATTCGAAAGGTTCCACTAATAGTCTGCTTATTGTTTTGAAGGTAATTTACAAACAAAATTTCTTTAGTAAATTAGACTAGGTCCAACAACAAAAATAAATTTTATTTGCATTTCAAAAGCTGGCACTAACTCTTTTTTGGTCGAGTTTTAGAACGAATTTGCTTGGGAGTCAAAGAGTTAGGTTCACACCACTGCTTATCTTATTGTTTTGATTGAGGATCTTGATCTCATCCATAGTATTGAATGTGTTTATTGCATTGTTTTAACGAATGCGACACCCATTGTGAAAACAGATTTTTGAAATCAAAAACTAGACATGACTATAATTGCTATGACTAATAAAGCCAAATGAAATGTTTTAAGTATGATTTTCAAAAATCATATCCTTATCCACTTTTAAATACAAACTATTGTTTTTGAAGGGATAGATATTTCATTCCATTTCAGTTTCGTTTTGTCCCATGCGTTAAATACCACAAATTCACACTGACATGTCTGCCAAATAATCGATACACAACTCTTAACTTAGGATCCCTTTTCATGTTGTCCAATAAGTCATCAGCCTATGAAATCGGTTGAGCTATCGCAGGATAAAATTTCTTATTTAAACCCAGGGTTTAACCCAGGGGGTAAGTTTCTAAATTCCTTTTAATCTGATGAGAGTTTACAATTTAAAATCGAGAATAATTACAATGAATTTTATATTTTTATGCTTAACATAAAACATATGAATTAACATTGACGTTAACATTCACCCATGAGTTTATGAATAGTTTATATATGAATAGTTTATATACAATATTCCTAACGACGACCAAGTGCCGTTGAACAGCTCCCAAAGAGACTTCACAAGCAGATCCCAGCGGGTTACAACAGCAACAACAACTTAAGCAGTTAAGCAGAAGGATCGTTTATTGAAAAATTTTTCAGCTCTCAAAAGTAAATCATACAGGTTGAAAATAAAATTGACATCACTTTTTAACATCACGAACATTTTAGAAAAGCAAAAGAGACAGATTGCAATTTTAAATAAGACATCTTCTAAACACTGTACCAACCTAAATATATCAAATAGTTCAAGTAAATGGTTAACTGGTTAACCCATGTATTATACGTTTAAGAAAAAATAAGCTATAGATTTATAATTAATAACTTGGCATTTCTATCAGGTACATGAGTACAGCATTTCTACCATGCAGGGTAGGGCGCAGATCATTGACAAACGTCGGGCGTCGTTGCCGTCTATTACACTCTATAGAATCATTAGAGATGTAAGAATCATATTTTTAAAATATAATCAAAATGTTATTATTACTATTACTGCAGCTAATGTAGTGTGGTTTTCTGATAAATGTAGCAGAGAAATGGTACACAACACTTGCTGGTTCTAGGAGTAGGCGGATCTACGACCCAAAATCACTTGCAACAGCAAAAACCAAGTACCACTCAACAACAATACCTGGGTATCTAATTTGATAAATGATACCAATCAGTAGTAGTCTTGTAAGCCCACCTACAGCAACAAGAGCAGAAGGCAATGAATCAGGAAATCACTTTTTAACTGCCATTTTTGAAGTTTACACACAATATCAATAAAATTTATTTCTTTTGATAAAAGTTTTTATATCAATATATTTAATTTCTTTTTACCAGATATAAATTCTAACCGGGGTAGACCAGTTGGTTTCTATATTTATTAACAATAAATAAATAAAACTTTTGTAAAATCTAACCCACTGTCAATGCAGTCAATGCAGATTCAAAATCTGTTTTTTTAACTCGATTTGTTGTAACGCGCTTCGTAAATCTGCTTATAAAGTCCATGTATATAGAGAGGGTTAAACGGCATAGAAAGGGTTTTTAATGTGTAGTCCCTGTGCAAACGTTAAAACCAAGAACATAAATTGACTTGCTTTGTCGTTGGGATGTAAATCTTCCTATATAGAAGCCAATCTAAATCTACCCGTTTTGTTCTTGCAAACGACAAAATTTGAACAGAAGTGTTAAACGGTACTTCGTCGCCATAGGCGAATAATCTCGAAACGTTGACCTAACAGATGTTTGAACCTTGAATTTCCAACAAAGGGTCTGCACTGACTAAATTTTGACATTTTTATACCAATTTCCGTTTTATACCATTTATATTCAAATGCACTTATATGCATGTATATATTTTTTACCAATTATGTTTGCGAACAAAAATTTGTTTTTAGCTAGTGATAAAGTGAGACTATATGCTATCTATAATTAGATCAAGTTTAGAATATTTGAGGTGGGGAAACACAATAAACTTCATTCTAATTTCAGTACTTTTATCGTCTGTGTGTGTGATTACTGCACTAACGCATTATTCGTCCAATATTGCTAATTTTCCAATTGCCAATTTTGTGAGATATGAAAAATATGTTAATAATCAAGAAATTGTATTTTATGAAATTATATGTGATGTCAAACTGGGAATGATTACAAATATTTATATTACTTTTTCACTTTTAATGCTGTGTCAATGAAGATATAAAATTAATGTTGATAGGCAACTCAAAAAAAAAATGGGATAGTATACATATTTTAAAAATAGTACTTCAATTAGTTTTATAAAAAATTTGCTATTAGTGATAATTGGTTACTGCTCTCCACAAGGGTTAGAACAAAATATTATATTTTATAAATTTATAATTGTTTTACAAAAATAAATGCATAGAGTACATGCATTGAACATCTTCGAAAGAAATATTTTTATATGGATTTTCCATGGATTCTATATACAAAAAAAAGCATATATTGCTGCATATTTGTTGAGTTAAGTACAATGATCTAAACACAGCATTGAATATGTTTAGCGAAAAGCCCGTAGAAGTATTTTTTCTCATTAAATATATTAATTTATTATTATTTTTACCTGCACATATCAGTAATTTGCAAAAACAAAAAAAACAATGCGTCCCCTAACTATACCTGTACAAATTTTCTAATAATGTTTACTAGCTAGTTAGGCTGGTCTTGTAATAAGACCAGCTATCCAAATAGACAGACAATCTTTTTCCTAACATAGTAAACTCTCACACACATAAACACTAATGCCAGCTGTCAAATAGGCAAGCAAGCGTAAGTAAGAAAAGGTTAGCGATATAGTACCGAAATAAATTTTAAAGCCTGTCAAAAAAAAATCTGCAAAACATGTATTATTTCTGCACCTACATTATTAAATTTTGAACTGGAGTTACAATAAGTAGTAAAATGAAAATATGTAAAAGAATATTTCACAACAAATAATTATTAAGAAAATTATAGTGCGAACAAGCAAATGGATGGACAGACGGTTCGTTAAAGGACACACACAAGTTTTTATAGCTATCTCACTCTAACATAGAATGGTTAGAAAGTTGACAGCACATTGCACATTATCAGATGACTGCACAAACTGACAGAATAACAATGCTTTAAATACTATTTTCATTGAAATAGTATTTAATGAATGAAGTGTGGAATGATCTTGTTTGATGCGCAGGCTAAAATGGTTTACGTTCGTTTAAAAAATTTAATGTTATTTATAAACATAATGGAAGTTTTAATTTAAAGTACAAATTTTATGTGTTTACTGATGGAGTAAGAAATGGAAAAAATTCTGAAAAAAGTGTTTAAAGTGAAATGTATGAAATTGTTGTGAGTAATTAAAGAAGCAAAACAATAAATAAACAAACTCAGTCAGCTCTTTAAGAAAATGTTACTAATACTACAAAACTCATTATTACTTTTATTAATTACCTGTATTATGTTCATGATGATATCCATGTTGGGATCACGTAATTCGTTGCTTAAAATTTGAACTTGTGTTAAAAATTCATGGAATGCTTCGGATTTTTCTAAAGGTGCTGCAATGCCATCAAAGTTTTTACCTATACATAGTGTAAGCGTTTATTGTTTTGATTTTTTAATAATAAATGTTAAGTAAATAAACTTACTTATACTTCTCAAGAGAATTAATGTTGGTAGGAGTTGTTTTTTATAATTCATTTTCCATACCCTGAAGCTGTCATTGCCTTTATTTAAGCAACTAATGCACCCTTTGATTTCTATGAGATTCTTTTTTTCATCGTGCAGATCACGTAAGAGCGTCAGGAATATATTGGATTGTTTCATAGATGTTGCTATAAACTTTTGCTGATAATTTCAAAAATAATAATCAATTATTTATAATCAATAAATAAATGATCATTTTTATATGAAAGTTATTCGTCTAACTTACAAGTATTGCATCCGCACTACGCATCAGTGCTTCTTGACATTCTCTAGGTAGACCATTTGACGAAGTTTTCAATATTTTAAAGGTTTGAAAAAATTGGTTTTGGTTTAGTTTCAAACTGTAGACACAATTTTGTAAAGTTAAGGGAATACCATTTTGTTTTAGTTAATTTTTTAGTTACCTTTGATCATCGGCTACGTGTAACACCTTCTCTATATACTCGGACACGAATCTACTGTAGCTTTTAAACTCTAAAACAGGAACCATTAAATTTTGCCACACTGAAAATACAAACAATAATATCAAACATAATAAAAAATTATAAATATATAATTCTGAAACTTTTTTTATACAATTTCTTTTATAACTCTAATTTGTTTCAATCTTATATATCTAATATTTAGTATACAATAGGTAGATAGATGGGTACGTGTGATCATAATCAAAGTTTTTTTAATTGAAATCGATACACTCAGGATATGTAAGCTTATGTTGTGATACCATTGACTTACAAATATTAGAAACATTTCAAAATATTTCAATATTATTTAGAAACATTATTCGTCTATACCAATTCACTAGTTGTAACTATGACTTCTGATCACTTTCATCATTTTTTTTTAACTTAATAATAATCTATGTTTTTTACTTTTTTCCTTGTCTTACTTAGAAATCATATTCTGTTTTTCAATATGAAAATATAAAAATAATGTACCTTACTATCTAGAAATATTAACCTTTTAAACCCTCCATAAGACTTATATAGCCGCATTGTCCAACAGCCCAAAGGATACTTAAGCATATATTACTGCGATTCTGATACGAGTTTCGCAGCATAGCCGTTGTAGCCATATTTTCTGAGCAAACACTTGGCCAATTTTGTCCAACTATTTGCAGAATTAACTAAAAATTGTTAAAGTGAGCATAAGCACATTTATAGAATTACATATTTGTATTAAACAATATCAGACGATATCACTTACTTTGTAACCAACAACTGGCATATTTTTACTTAAATCCATTGTCATCTGTGTCAGCGTACTGCTGAAGAAATACTGCAAATTAACGAAGGCGACAGTTTGTAGAAACTGCAATAATGCTTGTTTCAACGGCAACGGTAATAAATTGCTTGGGTACTGTGCTGATTTTCCTGAAAATACTGGATCGCAATCGAATACTAAATTCGAATTAAAAAAGCTCGCAACCTAAATTAAATTATAGACACTTTATTCTTCTGTAGACACTGGATTTTTCGAAGTTATATCAAACACACTTACGCCTTTTAACCACAGCAGCTCCGAAGCGACATATGTGGTCTTTAATTGTTCTAACTGTGTTATAAATTTTTCTACTGTTATTTCGCGTATAGTGGCCTCCAGTCCTTTACTTTTAGCTGCTGGTTTGGGTGTTTGATTAACGTTTTGCTGTTTCATACTTTTAGTTTCATATTCTTTGGAATTTTTTTTTACCGGCGATTTTGATTTCCTTTTTGTACCTGTTGACGCCGATTTTAACGAAGTAATGCGTTCCTTTTCGCCTGTAATACTTCTTCCCGCCAATAAGTTTTGATACTGATATGCTGGTACTATTTAATAATTGTATTTTTATTTAACGATTGTGCAATTTTCATTGAAGAATATTTGTGTACTTACAAATTTCTTCCAGTCTTGGTCCGACAGCTGCTAAACGTTTTTTCTCATTGTGCGCCTCTAGCTTTCGTTCTAAATTTCGTTGCTTTTTAGTTTTTGTAACAAGCTCCCATTGATTGGATGCCATTTTTCAATATAATAACTTATTAATTTGTTAAATGATAAATCGTAGCGTTATCAAAATAACAACACTCACAGTTTTGCTATGCTACAATTAAAATAGCCTGGCACCGCAATAATTTTTGAAGTATACACAGGGTTGCAATAAAATAAGCACCTAATTAGTAACAAAACTTGTAATTATTGTCTGAGTAAAAAATATTTTATACTAACAATAAAACTTGAGATTGTTTATGTAACAGTATTTCCTACTTCATTAGATGCTGTTGATTAGAATAATAAATAATTCAAAAACTTTATATTATTGTAAATATTTTATAATTTGACAGATGCAGATTTGCTTGCTTCCCTCGTTGTTTGACACTTATTTTACGGTACAGGGATGCTTATATGTCAGAACTGTGGTGGCTAATTGCTAAAATAGTACAGACCCTTAAAATTAAACAGAATAACTGTTTGGTGAGTTTACTATTTTATTTTTAAAAAATATTTGTGTTTAAATATATACAATTCTTTAGTATTTAATTGGGATTGTTTATGCTGGTAGTGAATTGAAAGCGGACTAAGAACTTTCACGGAAGTATAATCTAATTGGATTTCTGAATATGGCAATAAGAGAAATATTTACGTAAAAACGAAATCAAGTTGAAGTTTAACAAATTTTTTTTATATTTAGATATAAAACTGCGGTCAGAACTTTATAACCAAAGGAAATACAACAACTACGCAAAAATAATCATCAATTTAGAAAATCTCAGATAAAACGCTTATAATAGAAAAACACAAAATATCGTATATATTTCTATTAAAAATCGAATAAAGTTTTTTTAGATGTTAAGCTTTGCTAGTTGCAATATTGAATAACCCAAGAAATTGCAGTGAATTCAAAATCAATTGACACTTGGCATTTGTGCGTTTCATTAACGTCATATAATAATGAAAGACGAAGATCTTCAAACACCCTATCTGAACATTATTTTTACCGGAAATTCTTATGAAGATGCGATACTCATAACAATTCAAGCTAAAGGCGTGATAATATACACAATATTACAAAATGGATAGCCAATTGGAACGATGTTAGTATGAGCTTTAAATAAACCCCTGTTGTACTATCACTTTTCGTTATAATGAAGATTAAGCAGTCAAGGACTTAGAAACGGATAAACTGCTCGCAAACGGTTGAACTACTTCGAAACAGTTGCATTTTGTGGAAACTGGTGAACTTTATTGCTCTTTTTTAACAATGATATAAATGAAAAAATGATGAAAAGGCACTTACACTCTACACGCACTTAGACAGTGTTTCGAAACAATGGAAATATATTCAGTTTACTACGAAAGAAATAACAATTCATCTATATATATATATATATATATATATATCATTTGCTTTACAATTGAGTAGTGAGCCTGTTACACCATAATGCGTGTTTACAGCAGAAACTTAAAATGAAATATTGATTTATTAAGCACTATCTCTCTGAAAGCTTGATCTGAAACAATAGATCAATAGATCTGAAACAATAGAATAGATATTCTAGCAAGACCCGTAATGATAAAACAAAACTTACCATCGACACACGTCCGGTGGATATAATTCAGTTCAATAATCCATAAAGATATTATTGTAGTTTCTAAAATTTTGATGATTTATTTGGCTTTCTGGTGGCAAATAAATTTTGCAACATAAACTCTAAGGTCTGTGCTCTATGGTTATCAACAATGGAATTGTAAAGCATAGATGTGCATTAATCAGTCAGCATTGTTACAATAATTCTTTCTCAGATAAATACTGCACATTTAGAAAAGAATTTAGATAAGTTTACACTCCAGTTCGGAAATAAATGCCAATTTTTAATTAATCACAAAGTAGTGCAAAGAAAAAGGCATCAACTACCATTATGTATTAGGTCGGGTGAAATCAGTACGTCTAGAATGTGAACTGTAGATGCAGATATAACATCAATAGTATCCGACATCAATATGCAGTAGTCAGTATTTTTACAAATGCGTTAAAACATCCATGTATGTGTTGATCAAATTGGGTTCGTATACACTCCTGCGAAATAAGAGTCAGTTTAAAATCGATCACAAATTAATGTGCCAAGAATGAAAGTAAATATGTGTATATTTAAATGGTTTATATGGTTTTACCACTATCAACTTTTAATGTTACGGGGTGACTTTTGGAACAAAAACAGAACAGTACTTAAAATTAAGTACTATCTATAATCATTTAGATGAAACGCTTCGTTGATCCTGAAGAATTAAAAACAAAAGAAAAAGAATAATCAATTTGCGTCATCCCATAATCGCCTTCCTGTATCTTTTCAAATGTCATTACATGGACTGTGAGTGTCTTTATTTAAAATCTCTTAATAATAATTTTCAAAATATTTGTATCTTTCAGTGAATCCGTCGGAATGACATTTAGTGTTATCAATTTAATAAAGATACATTCAGGACAAATGTTGGAGTTACCTACGTCTTATGATATGTCGGTAAGAATTAAAAAAAAAATTGTAGGTTTAATGCATGAAAATTGTTATAAATTTTTGAAGATACTACGAACATTTAACAGAATTTGCCAAATAAAATTATAATCATAATTGAGGCTAATTAGTACCAACGTATAACCTTTATAATTTTAAACACAAGTTTTCTCAAAATGTACGTTGATAACGCCATTAACCTGACCTCAGCTTATAAAATAAAATTAATTCTTTTTGAATTCTAATCTCTTTTATTTCTTTTGCATTTATATTTAACAAATAAAACTTGTTAATCCCTTTAGTTCTCTCTTACACCAATTTTTTTCCTTCACTACTTTATCATGGTTTGTATGAACCAAAATAAAAGTAAAATTTAACATAACGCAGATTAATTGTGGGAGGAGCTCGAAACTTCCCAAATGTGAAATGCTTGATCAAAGCTTCGTAATGCTCGACAAGAGTTCTTTGTGTTTATGTTGCTAACTTCAAATTGTATATCATTTATCTATCAATCACATAACACTTATAGGCAGTGGAAAAATTGAAGACCGTAGGTTAGATTAGACTTAAATAAATTTTTTTAATAAAATTTATTTAATTATAATTATTTAATTATAGTTTTTATAATTTGTGTATATCTGTAAAAAATAATGTGTAATACATATATTACACACATAAAAATAAAAAATGATCGATGTATTACTATATTATATTATACTATATATACTTCATTATATTATATCGATTATATCGATGTTAAAATTGGAAATTTGTCATGAAGACGTTTAAGAAATCATTTTCCCGCCAACTCTTTACAATAGATCTACGTGTGGCAATGCAATTTATTCACTTAACCTTTAAATTAGTATATTTTAGATACTTTTATTTTGTTACTTCCCAGAAATTTCTTTGTTTCCAAACGATTTGAAAAAAATACAGGTAAAAATAGTTTTCAAAATATTTTGAATACCTGAGATAGTTTCATTAACAAGGCACTTTTTTTTTGAAAATATTCTATAGGAGTTATAATATATATCGTAATATTCGCTAACTATCCAAAAATTATCCATGACAATCAATTAGGGATAATCGTGCACTGTGATAAACTTAAACGAGATGAATTCACCATGCTTTCTTTTTATAAGAGACGCTGCACCAAGAAATAATTACAGAACAGTTGAATGTAATCAAAATATATTTCGTAGTTCATACACAATAGTTTCAAAATTGTGTGATGCATTCTGTAATGATGAATGACACAATTTTGTGCTGGTGCGCGCCTAGGGGAAGAGTGGTGTAAGAGTGGTGTATGGTGTAACTTAATTTATATAAGCATATCGAAGAATTTAGACTGTATTTTTTATATTAATATTAAAGTTCTAAGTCCGATTAAAAATAAATGTATTTTAATAATTAGTTTTCCTCTATAATAAAGTTTTTTATACATATTTTTTATATTTAATCGAATTAATCGAGTCGGAGTTAACGATCGACTATTTATTTCAGTAACTTACATATTGAATAGTTCTCAAAATGAGTATTAAAAATTTCCAACCTACTAGTTCTATTGCAGTATTAGTATTATTTTTATCACTATGTTTACGCAAGTTTTAAATATATCACCCCGTTGACGCGTACTTTAAAAACTGTTTTAAGGCTCTTAAAACCGATTTTAAGGTCGTGTAAACTCACTAAACTGAATTTTGCTTAAAAGCACTTTAGGCTTACTAAAAGCAGATTAACATCACTTTTAGTAAGAAACATCACATCTTAAAAGCAGTTTAAGGTTTCAATTTTCAGCTGTTAATTTTTGATAAAAAAAAAAGAAAACTAAAAATATGGAGAAAAAAGGGAGATAAAAAATTGCATGCAAGAAGAGGAAGAGTATTCAATTAACGGCAAGAAATGTAGAAAGGACACAATTTGCGAAATAGTTCGCTAAGAGTTAGAAGTCGTAAGTATTGCCATTTTATTAAAGAGTTGTAATCGCATTTCTCAAAATTTTGTTAATTTTATACGGGATATTTCTAAAATTTTCATTGTTCTATTATTTTCTTCCACTATTTTGGTTATAATATCTTTCTTTTACAATAAAAGTAAAACTATTTGTAGTTTTAGTCTATTCATTTTTAAAATGTTAAAATTGGTGGAGTGGTTTATATTTTCGTGAGCCTGAAATTAAATTAACGAACAATTGATAAAAATTTAACTAATATATTGTAAAAATTAAACAAATCTTGTTTTCATCTAAAATCAGTTTTCTAGTTATTAAAAAGTATTTGTTATATAGTTTAATACTAATGACAATGCAATAATATTCTTGATCCTGAAGTTCATCTAGCTAGAACTTTAATTACTTTGATTACTTATTATTACCAAAAATTTAAAACTTTATATAAATTTTATATAACTAAATAATTTTAACAGCTTTTTTAACTATTATCTATATAAATATTATTTATGTAATTTATGTAATATTAAAACAGATACATTTGTATCTATATCAAATTGAAATCATTTCCAGAACTCAAAATTTATGATCATTTAAGAAATCTTAATTTTTTAAAGATACAATATTAAATACTCATAAATTCATTATAAAAGTTCTTTATAACTTTAACATAATATTTATATTTAAATAAATGTGTATTTATATGTATTAAACGATATTTGTTCGTACAATACTTTAACACTATTGCAATTTGCAAATGCGTAGATCTAAACTTAACAAATAACGTTAATAGAATGTGAACACCATACTAAATTTGCTACTTAGGTTTATAATTGTAAGTGAATATATTATATAAGAATGTAATATATAATTAAAATAATTATTAATATATTAACTATTAATAATTTATAATATATAATTAAATATTAAAATAATTTATCATCTCTAATCCGATGTTGTCACAATAATTAAATAATAAAAAAATTATCTTCTATTTATATACAATATTATAAGAGTGTAGCCTCCTGTTATTTGAAATATAAAGGAATTATTATTTTTTTATGAAATTTTAACGTAATTAGCACAAACAACAAATTATTTAGCAGATTTATTAATAAATAACGTATTTGCTTTTAAATAAATGTATGAATATAAATAGTCAATTTAACAATTTTAAGTGTATTTGTATAATCAGTTCCATATTACTATTTATTAATAATATATAGAAGAGTTTTTATATTCAGTTTTTCCCAAAAAATTTAATAAAAAATTCCATGTAATGGATTTATAGAAGTTTTAAAAGTTAAAGTAACGAAGTCATTATAACAAATTGAATAGTTGATGATATAAACGTTTGAATTGAATTTCCAATTTTGTAGAGTTTTATAAACAAATGCAATGAATAATTCACCACTCGTGTTAACTCTACACTCCTGTCAAGAAATTGTATTCACTCGTTCGCCTTTTGGTTCATCAAACGTGTACGTTCACAGGTAAAAGTCAAAATTCAGTCGAGCTGTGTTCAGAGTAACTAACAAATAATAAACAAGAGTCAAAAGATAAAGAAGAGTTCGAATAAAATATAGAAAAAATTTTAAATTATTAATAAAATTTATTTTTAAATCACATACCATCCGAGGTAGTGTTTTATAATAAATAAAAATGTGTATCTTTATTGTTTTTATAAAACATTATTAATTTCTGTGTTTTAAAGATGCCAAGATTGAAGAAAAAGTCTGAATTCCAATTACGTTCAGCAGCAAAAGAACGGACGCGTCGTTTACGCATGATGCGACGTCTTGATCCCGATTACAAAAGACCACCAAAAACATCAGAGAGCAATGAGCAAGTAACAGAAATAAATATGGTAAAAGCGGATAGCAGTGAGGAACATGAATACAAGGCCATACGGCAAGCACAAATTATATCTGATTACTCATTGCGAAGAAATTTTCCCGCAAATAGCGCTGTTGAACAGCAAGAATTTATATATCAACAAAAAATCATGTCAGCATTACAAAATCACGATGATACTTCCTCGAATGAATCTATGTCACATAGTGTGAATACCAATTCTGATTTTCAATACCGTTTAGCGAATGATAATAGTTCTGAGTATTCAGAATTTTTTCACACTGAGGAAGAAACACAAATATGTGATCAGCGAGTAAGAAATGCGCAATTTCTATTGCAGGAACAGCATAATCAGCTATCACAAGACTGTGAAGTACGTCTCTCTAGATGTGATGACTCGAATGCTACTAGTGCTAGCAGTATTGCCACAGCTACAACAACAACAACCACAGCTTCAAGTCTGGAAAACGACCGTAGCACAATTGAAAACTTATCACAACTCTCTGAATATGAATATCTACGATTGCAATGCGAACTCCGAAGATCGAATCTTTATGCAAAATACAAGAAAAAAATTAAGCATGGTTATAACAATTTATGTCTTTGCTGTGGCGGTACTGGATTTGCATCACAAGTCGTTAAGGTACAATACATGTAATTTCATTACTTATCAGTTTTATTTTATTCTCCAGACCTGATTAGGTTTAGTATCAAAATTAATTAGTCCTATTATTTTTAATATTATGTATATATTTAATCTATTTCAGATTAGTTATAAGAAATCCTTTACGGTTCGATCATCTATTATGATCATTATGTTATTAATAAAATTTAACAAAAGTTGAAACTCAATTGTTGAAAGTTTTTTATGGTTACTTGAAAACTGTTTAAATAATTTATGCTTATATATAATATTGGGAAAAACCTATAAAATATTAAGTAAATTAAGATTTAGGAAGTGATTCACCATGTCATCTTATAGACGGACCTTCATTAACCTTCTGTTATAATTCGGTATTCATTACGAATTTATCGCCTAAAACATCCAAAATTCCAAACAAAAATGTTAAAGCACTCTCAGGTTTCAGAAACTGTCGGGTTGCAACATCAACATTGGTCTATAGAAAATATTATACGTTATAGCACAATCATAATTTAATAACACTTAAAATATATAAAAAATTGGTATAAATTATCGAAAAGGAAGACAAACAATATTAGTTGTTCTTCAAAAACTTTGTAAAATGTAATCATTTAATTTAGAGATTCGGAATGCAAAAATTCATTAATTGGATTGATGAAATTATTTACATAGGCCTTAATCAGTATAAAGATATAACTCTTTTACATTTAAAAAATGTATGTGTATCTTCTCAATTTTCTTGCCACTTTTGGAATACCGACACCATTCTCGTGCATCGAAAATTGCAGGATCAAGAATCCTGATCAATTCAGATCAGGATATAGCCATGAGCTAAACAGTCACTTGTCACGCATTAATGCGTTAACCCTCAATGTGTGCCCCACTTCAACTCCAACCCAAATGATGTCGGCCATCCGTTTTCCTGTCACGAGGCACGCACAAATCTGAATCCAATCGGAGTGGCTAGGCGCATCCGCCTTTATCCTGGTAAACTTCAATTTAAATCCCACACCTCCAATCCACCCCCAAATAATCTCCTTTCCTCACACAACCAACACCCATCCAGATTCGAACCTATGTGTTCGTCTTGTAATTTCTTTTATTTTATCTACTTTACAGATCCTTTCAAGTTACAACAACAACAATAACACTCTTTCAGTAAAACGTTACGGCAAGAATAAGACAAATTACAAAACATAGATTTGAGTGTTTATAATTAAAAATTTTCTCTTCAACTTCAATGTACTAGAATTATATGATGTAATTATATTCGAAATTATTTTTCAATGAAGGAATACATTAATGACATACTTTTAAGATTGCATACAATACCTTATAGATAAAGTTTAACACTAGTTATTTTCTAAATTTTTAAGATAATTACATAATTTTTTATGGAAACATACAAAAGAACTGATATGTCTACAATTAGGATATGTTAACACCCCTTGTTATGGTTACCAAATAACTTCCACGAACATATCAGTTGCATTGTCTTCGTAGTATATAAGAATCGTGTTATATAAGAATATAATATCAGTAATAATATTGATAGATTCAACTAATACATATTAACATCTATTTAGCAATATATAACAGATTTTTATAATAACTGTTATATAACAGATATAAAAAAATGAACTCATTATCAATATAACATATAATTTGTCAACTTCGTTTTTTTTAGGAAATGAACACATCTCGTTTGCCACTCACCAAAATTCCAACACCAGAACGTAAACAATTATAGGAAATTGAGTCTGCGTTGGAACGTTTTTATGAAGCAAGAGACTTAAATAAATTAAATTTATAATATATACCAAAAAAGAGTATGATCATCGACATCACAACGTACGTGTAAGTAACATTTCATATAAACAACAAAATCTATAAAGTCACTAAAAAGCAATAGGTAGAAGTGCATTAGAGTAAACCGACATAATTTATGTAAAATAAAATTAATGAATAAGGGTATTCACAATCTCATTTAAAAATTTGTGATAATTATGCGTAGATAAAATGCCATTTTTTTATAATTGTAAATTTTATATTTAAACAAAAAAAAAACAAACGAAAAATCTATAAATATTAAAATATATTTATTTTTTAATTCATAATACATTGTACTCTTATATTGTGAATACCTATAGAGTAATAAATTCTTATGCGATTAGTGCTAGTTTTAAGTTATATATGTAAAATAGTTACTATTCTTAACAGTATTTAGCTGTAATCATGTATATAGAATTTTTTCACATTTATATAAATAAAGAATATATTCAATTACCTAGTAAAATACTCAAAATTGTACAATAATATATTATAATATATATCTCTAATTTTAATTAATTTTGTAAATAATATGTATATATCAATTGATTATATATTATATAAAACTGTTGAAAAATTGTTTCATATTTTTTTATACAATTATTATGAATTTGATGCTAATACTGCAATTATATTTGCACAAAATAGTATTGTGTTGTGAGTCTGGGATTAACGCAGATGCAGTACATCTGAAAAATTTGATGTCAAATCTTTATTAAATCTACCCAGTCACATTGCTCTCAAGAATTCGGGAATATCGATTCGAGGTGGAATTGTTATTGCCATTTAAATCCCTCTTTTGTCGAGTTACTAGATTAACTCTTTTCATAAAATGCTGCATATCCAGAAACCCAGGTATTTAAGACTTAGTGTACAAATAATTTAAAATAACTTAGTAACTAAAATTAAAATACCAATGAAAAACTTGATTAAAGCTGAATACCAATTGACTTAAGATGGCTTAAAAGTTAAGGTTTAAAATTAGTTATAATACTACTTTTTAAATGTAAGTATTATATTTTTCATTTTTATTTAAAAATTTTTCACAAATTGTAAAGCATTATGCATTCCAAATCTTTATCTTTAATATTATAAGTGTTCATATTCCTAAATTCTATCATACAAGGTAAAATGTGCTTTCTGTTGTGATTAAAAGCCCTTTTAACGAGGCAGATGTCAGATCTGTTGACGGAGGCATATGTCAGCGCTTAACTTTCTGTAATTTTTGACGCTTATTTTGTGCTATAATATTTTTAATTTCTCGTACAGAATTTAGAAATTTACTTCTTGACCATGATCTTTTAATAATGTGATTCAAGCTTAAAACCTCATAACCTCTTTGATAGATTTATTATCACATTATGAATATATCGTTTAAATATTGGACTAGCTATGCTATTCTTATAAAAATTCGTATAGAGAACTTAATAAACTGTATACTATACTAACTGAAATTTGCTTGTTACCTTTTAGAGTTATCAACAAAAAATGAACTTTTTAATTTGTTAAAGAATTCAGAGTTCACAAATCGATAGTGTCTTTAGAAAAGTATAACGTATTCCATGTATTTGTATAAATATTTAATCGAATCATATTTTAATACATGTTTTAATGTATCAATGCTTTAATACATCTAGAATTATATATGTACATGAATTGGTTATGTGAAGATAGTTTAAACTGACAAAGTGACAACTCAAAAACCATAAATCTAAGGTACGACAAATTATAACTAACAATGATAAACGTACATTTTTCGTATATTTTTTTCCTATTTTTGTTTATCAAATTCTTTATTGCTACACTAGATTCATTACGCTACACATATTGAAATATATCTATATAAATAAATATATACATTACATATATAATAAAGTATACAAGTTTATTTTTTTTTTATATTTTATCACATTTTCTTAAAAACTAACCAATGCATAAATTGCATTTCAAATCAAAATAAATAAGCGTATTATAATGTATACAAACATACACGTATGGCAGTCTGTTGCTGAAAAACAATTGCACGAGAAAAATGTATATTATTAACAAAGATGGAATATTCCTCCTCATAGTCTAGGCACATCATCGTAGGAGAAACCGTGACGTTTGCATAAAACGCACAGCAATATGTAGCCATAATAGCCGCCAGGTATAAACATTATGACTCCCATTATAATAAGAGGATAACTTCGATCTGCATATTTCTTTTCAAAATAACCCATAGATATAAGTAAGCCAGCTGTCAGGCAAACCTTGCATTGCATATCAAAGATAAGACTTTAGAAGCTTTATTATTAAAATAAGTCTTTACGAATACTTACTCCACCCACTATTAAAAAGCAAACTATAAAAAACACTGCCTTCCATTGTATCTTACGAGGAGGCACAGCAAACTGTTCAACAACAAACCCATCGTCACCCTCATCTCGCCCAGCTCGCTTATCACTCTCCAGTTTAGTATATTTTTCAGCGTTTACACGACGACGACTTTGGCTCATCTCCAAAGCAAATTAAATTATATTACAAATTGAAAATCACTAAAACAGAACCTGTGTTCGTAAAATTTTGAGTCCTCGTATTTCTGAATTCAAATTAACAAAACCACACAAAGAACAATAATATGATATTAAAAGACTAATGAACTTTTTTTCCGTTTTGTCGTTTAAACAGCTGAGCCGTCAAATATTTTTAAGCGTTGCCAATCGAAAAAAAATTCTTTTTTTGGATGTTACCAGACAAGAAATTGAATACAAACATTTTAAATTTTTGTTGACAGTTAATATTATTTTTTTGTTTTAATTCATATTTAATATATTCATTATGTTTACAGCTAAGTTTATTTAATTTAACAATTGTGTGAGCGGCGAAAAGCTGCTTACTTATTTTCAATCCAATAAAACACTTTGGACCTTATATGGTGATATTGTGTCTATTCTTTTATGAGAATTTAAGAAGAACAACATAAAATAAGAACTACTTTCAATGCCAATTCTGGAAAAGCCGAACATTTTAATTTTGATACGTGACATGTTTATATATGTAAATATATAAATACAAATATTTGTAAAAACACATAAATTTAAACACAAATAATAAGTAGAAAAAATAACTAAGAAAAACAAATAATTACACATTATATGAATAATTAACAAAAACATATGTTGATAGCAAAGAATATCTATCAAAGAACGGAAACTCCGCCCACATCGAGCGTAACGAAGAGAAATCGCTAAGGAAAATTTTTTTATAACATTTTGGTACACGTATACATGTGATCTTAACACGATAACATCAAATTATTATCTTTTGGGATTGCCGTAAAATAATTTGTTACTGATTGCTAATTAGATGTTCACATTTTAATAATGTGAAATACTCGTGAGTTTTTTGGTTAAAAAAATCGTCATTTTGTCTTTCAGAGTAGCAAAAAAATACTCGCAACTTACGAAAGAAAACATGTGAAGTAGTAGTACCAAAAAAGTAATTATCCGTTACTTTGTATTCGTTACTCAAAAAATACCGGAGTAACGAATACAAACTTTTTATTGTATTCGTTACTTTTACTCATTTTACCAATGAGTAGTATTCGTTTTACCTACTCTTTTGAGTACTTGGTAACGATTACTTTCAACAGCTGTTTTCGCGGTTTAATAACAACTACTTTATTCAAAAATTTTGTTCGTTTTCAAATTTATTAAAAATGTGTGAAAATATTAATAATAAAAAAAGTGAAATTTGGATTCATTTTGAACCAGTAGGAAGTGAAAAAGCTAAATGCAGATTATGTGGAACAAACTATTCAATAAAAGGTGGTTCTACTTCAAATTTGAGAAAGCATTTAAACATTAAGCATCCCACGGTCCTAAGCGTCGTTAAACGGAATCGTGAAGTTGCTTTCCATGAAGTACTTGGCGAAGGTAAAGCAAATTTTATATATAGTTTCACTATGATAAAGCAAGTTCATTTACTATATAGGGAGTAGCAGCACTAACCAACGGTAGTTCCATCAACCTCTGGTTTGGTGGCTGCACCAAGAATAACGCAAACTTCTCTTGAAAGTTTTGTAATGCGACCGTTATCACTCCCACGTCAAATAAAGATTAACAACTTAATTTTGGATGTAATAGTTGAAGATGTACACCCATTTTCTATTATTAATGACACTGGTTTTCGTAAACTCGTGTTGGGTCTCGCACCATCGTATGCGTTTCCATCAAAAACAACATTTAGTACAACTTTTCTTATGGAAAAATATAATAAAGCGAAAGAATCAATACTAGATATCTTACAAGAAGCTAAAACTATTTCATTAACAACAGATATGTGGACTTCTAATGCTAATGAAAGCTATTTGGCTGTGACAGCACATTTCATATCCCAAAATTGGAAATTTAACTCCTGTTTGCTTAGCTGCGTGGAATGTAGGTTCCAGCATACCTCAGAAAATTTGGCAGCAGAAATTAAGGTATATAATTAAGGCAAATAATTTTGGTTTTAATGCTATTTTACAAAACGTAATTTTTACAGCGAATAATAGATGAATGGCGTTTGACTAATAAAATATTTGCTGTAACAACAGACAATGCAGCAAATATTATACGTGCTGTTACTTTGTGTGGATGGTGTCATGTTCCATGCTTCGCTCACACATTAAATTTAATAATTCAAAAAGGCTTAAAAAATATTGAGCATATTAGACTAAAATCAAAAAATATTGCTGAGTACTTTAACCGAAGTACGTTAGCAAATACTAAACTTCAAGCGCAACAGAAGTTGTCCTTAAATTCAACAGTTTTAAAATTAAAAAATGATTGCCCAACTAGGTGGAATTCAACCTGTTATATGTTCGATAGGATTATAAAAATAACTGAAGCTATATCAGCTACTATTGGTATTTTACGCATTCCATTGGAGGCCCTAACGGAAAATGATTGCTGTATTATAAAAGAAATTTTAAATATTTTAAAACCATTCGAACAAATTACGACGGAAATGAGCTCAGAAAATAATGTCACTCTATCTAAAGTAATTAATTTTGTACGAGGATTGAATGCGGTTTTAACCAAACTTTCTAAGGAAATAACATCAATAGAAGGGAAAAAAATGGCTGATACACTTAAGGACTCTATTTCCACCAGATTTGTTAATTTGGAAGGCAACTCGTTAATGGCGACAGCAGCGTTTCTGGACCCCAGGTTTAAAAAAAAAAGCATTTTCAAGTGATATCGCCTTTCAAACTATAAAACAAAGAGTTCAAAGTGAAATAACTGCTCTTATTAATAATAAGAGTATATCGAATGAAAGGCTATGCAATGAATCCAGGAGTACTTCAAGAAACGATGACGAGGATTTAGTTTGGCAAGATTTTAATGACTCCTTGGTGGGTAGTCAAACTCAAACTCCAACAGCCTTACCTATAATCGAGATACGAATGTACTTAGAGGAGCCATTAGTTGATCGAAAATCAAATCCACTTGAATGGTGGAAGCAGAGAGCTTTGCTTTACCCACATTTATCAGAACTAGCAAGAAAATATTTATATCAATTTTAGCTACTTCAGTTCCTTCAGTTCCTTCAAAAACAAAAAACTAAACTAAATCTTTACCTGCACCAACCTTTTCAAACATTTTCTATGGAATTGCAAAAACAACTACCTTGTATGTAAATTGCATTTTATATTTTCATTTTAAAAATATCGCGCAGAATTTGCGCGATACTCTTGCTTTTTATATTATATAACGCAAGTATACCAGTTATTTGTGCGTTTTAAAATAAGAAGCAAATTTTAAGAGTTATTGCTGCGCGAAAAAAATAAAAGGCATATAATAATTATTATTTTTGATGAATATAATAAAAATCAAATTTAATTATTATTTTTTGAGTTTTATTTTAAAATGCATATGATAACAGTTATAAGATGATTTTTATTTTTTTTATGATAACTGTTACGGTCCCTGGTTGTGACTGATATAAACCAATCACGTATCAGTTCCTCTACAATAAAGTAATAGCAACATTTCAATTTCGAGTATTATTGCTTGTTTCATCACATCCAGAGTAATTTTTACACTATCACATATGGTCGAATCTTGCCCATTTTCAATACGTGAGTTGAAATCCAATTCACTCATGTTTTCAATCGTTTACTCGAAGTCAACACATTTTTCATGGGTTTCCGGACCAGATTCTTCTGAAGAGCTGGAGCTATCAAATACTTCAAATATTTGGTTATCGCGCTACTCTCATTGTATCCTCCTTATTTAATTAGTTTTCTCCGTTAAAATGTATAAAGCCAAAAAAAGTGTATACATTTATATAAATTCAAATACTTACAATATAAAATTCTCACCAATAACTTTTTTTTGTCATTCATTTTATAACGTATGTATATTTATATAAAAAACCACTTATTATTTTTTTGGGGCTGCTGAATACATATATATAAATGAAGAAGAATATTAGGATTTTACATTGCATAATTAGCTTACAAACGCACTGGTCAAAAAAATTTGTTTTAGGGTTGAAAATCTTCACAAATGAGATCATTAATAACATTAAAATAAATAACGTCTATTTATCACCCAACTCCAAATGTCTGCCGTAGCACACCACAGATAGCTCTCAGTTTTTAAGTAGAGACTAAATTTTCGTAATGATGATTGAAATGCCACGTACTATCAATGATTTCTCAACCATCAACTATAATTTATAAATGATTTAATTGATTATGAAATGAACAATGTTCCATTCTAAAATATTGTGTAAATTATATAAATTATATATATTATATTTATATATTATATATTATAGCAGCACGAACACTATAGAGAGATGAGAAAGGAAGAGAAGCGCCTCTTCAAACAAAAGGAATTAGATCAAGAAAGACGCAAGCGAGAGGAAATCGAGGTGTTTAGAAACTGGAATGGTGCCTGTAAGTTTCACCAAAAAGTCAATTGTGTGATTGAAGGCTTTTAGTCTGGAGCACCAACTTGTAAAGACGGAAATAGTGTACTGGTTACAGATACACAGACTGTACTGAAAATGCAAATAAAACATTTCCTCAAACTGTTATCTGATGATAACATCAATTCTTCTTTTGCAAAAATGCTCTAAGAGTTTCAAATCAAAAATTATGGTGTTGAAATTCCACGATCTAGTCATAAACAAAATGCGTGTTGCTATATAGCTTCTTATAAAATAAAATGCTAATGATGGCCTACTTGCCCAATGATTGAAATCTTAGCATCTTCCGTCTTGTCTTGAAAAAGGTAAGCCAACGAATTGCGAAAGTTATTGTATAAGTATAAGATATATAAGTATAAGATCTTTTCAACTTTCCTGCGTCTTTGTCCAGGACTGAGACAAGGCGACTTTAATGTCTTGGTGTTTGCTTCCTCACTAACCTGGCAACGAAAGCAAGCGTATCGGATCTCCTCAATTTCATCTGGAAATGAAGTTTACCGAATGGTTTAACCAAATGGTTTAACGAGGATAGTATACGAAGGTAACAAAGGTTAGCAACTCGCCTCTCCCGGCAAAATCGTTAAGAGCATTACAATGGACAATATATGCTTCCGAGTGGAAGTGTTGATAACTGAAAGTATGAGCGTTCTCAACCTAACTAACCTACTGTGCAAAAGATTAAGGTTTCTTCGAAAGGGTATTGGGACCACTTCTTACTAGGTACTTAAATACAACATAAATGCAAATCAAATTTAACTATTATAAGTAAACTTATTATAACTCACTTCCAATTTATCTTTATAACTAAATAACATATATAAATAATTTCAGATCTTCGAAGAACTTTATGATGTCTTATCCTATGTCTTATGAAAGTTTGAATAGAACACTCTAAATGTTCGAAAATCGTCAGCTTGGAGATGTTTGAACTATTTAAAAAAAATACCCACAGTTTTTTGGTACATTTTCTTATTATTTGGTTGGTCAATTGTTTACCATTAAGAAAGCTATGCAGAGACTTAAAGAAATGTCAATACAACAATGAAGGCAACCGACCTGACTATACGATCGATGTATTAAAACTTCTCTACACTACAAACATAGTGTAGTGTTTTGTAGTTTTGTTAAAAAACACTACATGAACAGAACACTAAATAAGGTCCGAAACACATCAAACAATTTTTAGTGTTTGTATTCATGATCACAAACTCTAAAATTATAGTGTTATTTTAGTAACAAGCTTGGTTTGCACTTGGTTGTATTCGAAATAGTTGTTCAAAATAGCTGACACTACTGAAATCCGCTGTCAAACCGGTGCATCTGAGTAATTGAAATCGCGCTACGAAAGGTGATCGCTTATATTAATTAGAGCGGTAAAAGGTAATATAGAAAAACAAAAAATTTAAGAGTTTTGCTTTATACTTTGTATGTGGAATTTTTTTGATGCTCTCTATATTTAACAATTTCTTTTTTAACATTATATATATCATTTATTTTCTCTCTCTCCTAATCTTATTTTAAAAATTAAGTGTTATATGAAGGGATATTAGGTATGTAAAATATATAGACGACGCAAAATTTATTTGATAAGTACTTGTTTTGAATTATTGTAGTTTTTTTTATTTTTTTATAGTATAGTATAGTAAGTATAGTCAGAAACACATACCGTGTGCACTATGCAGTTGAAGGTTCTATTGATTTTGTTTTAAATTTCTGCTCCTATCATGTAAATATTTTTCCTTTATTTTGAGCTCGTACGTGAAATCCGCTTAAGGTGAATCAATTCAGACCGTTAAGAATTTTAATTAATTTTAATTTTATGGCTTTTTAGTAATTCAATAATTTAATAATTTATAATTTTATATTTGCGCATATGGTGTTTTAGTATTTGTGCACAAATCCGTCTTTTATTATGCATCACGTAGCCTTTTCAACTACTTTCCAGTGTATTTTCAGCGAAGGTCACGGGATGTAGCTAATGACGTGATTCTGTGCTTTTTTTTGCCCATAATTTTTTGGGCATAACGTTAAAAACTTGGCAATGGTGCGACTATACCTTTGCTAGCTTTAATTTTCTGACCAAACAAAAAACAAAAATAGAATGAAAACTCAAATTAAATAAATTAAAAACAATGTCGTTTCACATTTTTTAAAGAAAACTTTCACTCTTCTCTCCTTCCACTTTGCAGCGGGCTTTTTCGTTTTTGTTCCGATTTAGTTCAACTTTAATTTACAGCTTATTTTCGTTTATGGATTAGTCAGTATTCTTTGTGGATCCTTTTAAAAATGCATGACTCTACAAAACACCATGCCAGACGCCAGCAATAGTCAACAGGTCATGGTCAACAATTTTGTGAATGTATTTTTAAGTTTTTATTTGAAAGCCAAAATAAAAATTTGGTTGCAAATCAACACAAACGTCATTCATACTCAACTCTTACACAATTTAAAGGAATTTATTTTACAAAAGGATGCATAAGACCGAAGTCTAAACTCTGAAGTTGTATTGCTTCACACTTTATAGTTGGTGATATGATGTTTTGTAAGTTGTGTAAAAATTGGCATTAAGTTGTGACATTCTTAAGTTGATCCTATTTACACGGTGTAATTGAATCGCGTGACACATTGCGGTGCCGCTGTATTTTTGTGAGGGAACATTGTCTACGTTTTCTGTGCAGATGTAGCAATAACAATGTACATAGTAGTACATGGTCTATTTGCATGGCCACTTCCAATTTTACATAAAATAAACTTAAACTATCAAAAGGCATGAAATTGAGACACGCGACACTCTGACTCTGTTAATTGGAGTGGTCACCTCTTGTTTGATAGAGTTGCAGTATAGTCAGTATTATGTCAAATTATTTCTTCTACTACTATCAACTACTATCAACTAGATCAAAGAATTCTTTTTACTAAAGAGGAAGAAGAATATATATCTTATATATAATATATAACTTATGTATAATTAGTTAGCCAAGGTAATTTTTGTACAATTTTATTATTACGTAAGATTCACCATAAATCTATGTAGGAATCCTGAGTAGTTGACGAATTTCGTCAGATTGCAAGATTTGCCAAGTGCAAATTGAACAAAATTCGTCTTAGTTGTTTTTGCTGCATTAACTAAAGCAAAAACAACTCAGTGTTTTAGTGCCTTCCTCTGCGTATAAGGAAGACATCTAATAAGTCTTGGTTTACTTTCTAACGACTTTTGTCAAGGTTATCGCTTTGCAGATGAGGCGGAAGATATACTCCATCTCATGTGTAAAATTTTATCATTGGTTAGGATTCAAGATTCAAAATTGTTGGCGGCCTTTAGTTGTTCTTAGACAGCTGTATTCTTTCAAAGTTAGTAACAAAGGCGTCTTTTTAGATTTGCCAGGTTGGCTCCCAAAGGGATTTTTATTCATGCACTTAATGTTTTGGACTTCTGACTTTAAGTACATTTTTTACGTCTGGCATACGGACTGTATCTCGTTAGTGATATCATAGTGGCAAATTATTTACACTTAAGTGAGCTTTGGTACGCAACGCTGCCATACTTAATACAGCTGCTCAACTATATCCTAGTGATTTCTAATTAAC